TATATTACATATGTAAACATTATAACAGGAAACAAACTACAGCATCAAACCAAACTAATCCTGGAGCAGACTTAGGATGGAATTTAAGGATTAACTCAAACACAACAGCTTTGATAAAGAGGCACTTTTACACCTTTTACAAAGTGATTGTATTGTGTCCGTGTCTGGATGTTATACACATGATCTCAAGGACTTCTGCACACTTCGGTGTGTAAGTGTGTGTGACACTGACCGTGTGCAGGCCCTGGAGTTGTTGCAGCTGTGTGCGGAGCTCTATGCTGTTGTCCTGTTCCCGCTGGAGAGATTTCTGCAGGCTTTGTCTCTGTTCCCTCTCAGTGCGCAGCTCATTCTCCAAACCCAGCCTGAGAATACAGAAGAGACATGGTGATTCTTACAGCCAGCGCCAGCCTGTGTGTGTGCAGGATCACAGGTTTAAAGTATCAATCTATATATGATAACTGTAAAAATCTGAGATGGGGGACCAGATACGTGACTCAAACACATACCATGAATGGCAGATTTTTTTAGACCCCGAATATATCATTAATAATGACTTGATTTGGACTGTGACAATAAAAAAAAAAAAATCAAACCTAATACCTATAAAGATGTTTTAAATGTGTGTCAGATGGATTAAAGTTAAAAGCTAAGCTTGTATCTTATCTGCAGTTAAGATTTAATAGTCTTTAAATAAAGTGTTAGCTGATATACTTCCAAGAAGAGCTACTTAACTGCTCGTCAGTATGGCATTAACACGTTAGCCAAAGTAGTTTTAAATCTCATCCTTTATAGACTGTCTTTTCTGTGTTCTGGTAGTTTTGTCTTTTATTCCATGTGCAGAACATATTTATAGTCATGTCATTTTTCGTGCCTCTTTTGTAGGTTTATGGGACTGTGCTGTATCAATTTTATGCTTTCCAAATGTGTGTCTTACCTTAGTGTATCCAGGTCAGACAGCTGTTTCTGCAAAGCATCCACCTTTCCTTCCAGCTCCACCCTCATATCTTTGTCTGACTGGTCGCTTTGTTTGCGCTCTCGCTCCGAGTTCTGAAGTCTGTGATGCACAAACGACAAGAAGGAAAATATTAATTTAAAGGAATGTCATTTTAGAAACAGAAAAATACACAACACGTACCTCTGCTCGAGTTCCATCATGGCTTTCTCCATTTCATCCATCTTCTGCTCAAGCTGCACAGCCTCCGCCTGCTTTTTTTCTGCCTCACGTTCTGAGTCCTACAGAACCACATAGGTTGTGTTAATGTGTGTTCTGTCTGAGTGGCCAAGCAAGAGAAAGAAAAGGTGTATTCACATGTTTCTACCTGAGCTTTGTGGAACATTTGCAGGTTCAGAGTCTTGACTTGGTCGAGCTGGAGCCGCAGGGCTGCCAGCGTGTCCTGTTTCTCGTGTGTGTCCTTCTCTAGCAGCTTCATGGCCACCTCGATCTCCTGCTTCAGGCCCACCTGGAGCTCCAACTCACGCTCCAGCTCCTGACATCATGCATTGCAAACGTACAAAAGGCATGAGTCAAATTCAGTTCTAGAGTCTAATCAGGCCACAAAAATGAGCTTTGAATTTTCTGCTAACAGGAGGCCAAATGACTCATCACACAGAACTCACACTGCTGGCTTCTGTTTAACTTTGTTCTTAACTGCAGTATGGAGACAACCAGACGATGCCTCCCACCCAAAAAGAATCTCCAGCTTCTACCCCCCCCCCCCACCCCCATCATGCCACATGCATGATATAGTGTCACAGTCAACTGATACCTGACCTGGCGAATGCGCTTTTCCTCTTTGTACTGCTTCCAAACCACGTTGTACATCTCATCCAGGCCTTGTCGAGTCTGTTTGTACGTCTCCAGCTCCACCTGGCTGTCCTGAAGGGCTGCCTGGAAAAACACCAACACACCATACAGTTTTTTGTAAATTAGGAGTGGTTTAGTTGCATTTAGGGTTGCAAAATTCTGGGAAATTAGGGGGAAACTTGCTATGGGTATTAAATGGAATATATAGGTAAGTTATTGGAATTAATGAAAAAATAACTGAAATCAAATACATACAAACAATGTGAGATGTGCCATATCATGAGTTAGCTAGCGAGCAAGTAAGTAATTAAAACTCCTCTGTCAGCATGCTACGTGCCACATGGTAACAGCTAGCTAGCAGGCGTCAACAGGTTGTTAACGCTGTACTGTGCTTTAGGCTACTATCTGCTTGTTAATTGAAATATTATTATTTTTAAATATATATTCACTTCAGTGATATAATGGAAACTTGGATTTGAGTATTTGCTCCTTTGACTCAAACAGTGCAGTAGAGTTGTCTGAACATGTGACGGGAGAATGCGCTGTGCACGCAGAGGTTTTTATTTCACTGAATTCCTATGTGACAGTATGCTGGCAAACGTGCATTACGTGCCTGTAATGGAAGAGTGCGCTGCTGAATGTGTACAGTTCAATTAAGTGGGTATACTTTAACAAAAACATGCCGTAAGACCTAGTATTGCTTTTTTTTTAAGTGTATTACCCCACCTCCCAAATAAGTTCACTTTTAAAAGTTTTGATTTTTATATTAAAATGATGCAAAAATCCCCAAGTTCCTGAGCTTAACTTCACTTCACTTCCCAACCCAAACTGCAGATGCTTCTAGTTGCTTTCTGACCTCTTCCTTTTTCTGGCTGGACTGCAAGATCGTCTCATTCTCCTTTCTTAGCTGTTCCTGTTCTTCCCGCAGAGAGTTGATTCTGTCTGTCGCTGCCGTCAGCTGAGGATAAAGAAAATAAACGCTCATCAGTCATGTGAAACACACCTAATATACACCGATGACGTGTTTACATTACAGAGGAAAGCCCTCTTTGTAGACAGATGATTGTGGTGATCCAAAAATGTGTCACACCCAACACTTACGAGCACAGTCACACAACAGTTCACACACGGTGTGTCTGACCTCCTCTACAAGTTTGCTGTTGGTCTTCTCAATAGATTCCATCTTAGCCTGAAGGTCAGTGACGGTGCCGCTTAGATGACGATTTAACTCCTCAATGTAGTGCTTCTGATCCAAAATGGCTGTCATCTTGGCATCGCTGAGAGAGAAAGAATAACAATGTTGGCTGAGTAAGCATCAGGTCTGTTTGGGATCGAATTATTATCATGCCAGGCGCTACAGTTCAAACTAAAATAATATAACAAAAGGCAGTGTAGGCAGGATGCTCAATCCATCTGAATGCAAGCACTCACTCTTTTGAAGTCTCACTGTTGGCAGCGTCTTTCAGATAAAGAGAAAAGTCGATGACTGCCACCTAAATGGGAAAAAGAAACTCATGACTGTGTATCCACTTTCACTCTTCTCATATTGAAACTGAGGTGCAGCAGCTGGGATGTATAGGCTTACAAAACCTGTCAGCCACTCACCTGAGAATCAAGATCCTCCCCTTTAATGCAGAGGTTAGCGTCAATAACGTTGAGGCCCACCAGCAGTCCCCCTATCACTGCCCCCTCCTCCTCCATCATCAATGCTCCGGAGTCATAAAACTCACTAGGAGGAGACAGACATGGAGGGGATTGAATAAGAATAAGTTTTAAAAATGAACTAGTATCTGACACATGAACATGAACATATTCTTGTACAAAATAATTATGGTTACTAACCTCAGGAGATCTTTGCGGTCCAGCAAAGCCTTCATGTAATCAGCTACTGTCTTCTGCATGAGCGCTAAATGCAGCCAAGCCCTTGCCCTCCCCAGGCCGGTCCTCAAAGGAGAATAAAAATACAATTACACAAACACTTATCAAATAGGTTTGAGCATATCTTACATTGCAGGTATGCTGGGAAATGGTTTGCAATAGCATACTTTATGCCGGGCAGGTCTCTGGCACTTGTGGCAATGTTAACAGACTCTGGACACAACTTCTCAACCAGTTCCAGAGGTCCCCATATGGACTTGTTCTGACCAATGAAGGATTTCTTGACTGAAAAGAAAAAAACAAAACAAATGTAAGAGCACTGACATTTATTTGGATCACTTTTAATAGAAACTAATTCAGTTAAAAAAAAAAAAAAAGGGTGAGCCTCTTGACTGTCTCACCTTTCAGCCCATGTTTGAGGCAGTGCTCCAGGACGACAAAGAACTGCTGCAGAGGAGGGTAATCTGAATCAAGTGTCCTGCCCAGACTTAAGGAGGACTGAATTAATACTTTGATGCTCAGCTTCATCATGCTGAGGAGGTTGGACCTTTCTATTGCCATGGGGTCTTTGGGGGGCAGAACTGTAAAGAATGCAAGGCACAGGTGAAGTTAATGACAGAGAACACATCAGTTGATAGCCAACCTGCATAACTGTAGAGCAGGGGTGTCAAACATAAGGGTCCAATCCAGCCCTCTGGATGACCTTGCACACCTATAGTGATGCGCTTGTGAGGGCTAAGAGGTGCCAGGTGTCAGGAGCAAGTTTAACACTGAGTTGCTTTCCTCATGTGAAATGCTGCTTCAGAGGCTTTTCCACCCTGACCAGAATACAGTTATTTTCTTTCACTTTAGTTTGGTGTGGTGATGTCAGAATGACTACACAGGAGTGGAAATGTATAAAAAAAATGCACATGTAATGAGAGAATGACTGGCTGCAACTGAAGTTGAAATTGCATTTATTCTTCTGGAGACATCACAGGCTGTTCGTCATCTGTTTTGTAAATGGATTAGCAATTTTAAAATGTACTTCTTAAAGCAATAAAGGGAAAAAAAGTTGTTTGTTATTTATAGGATATTACACAATGATTTTACTGGTCCAGCCCACCTGCGATCAAATCAGACTGTATGTGGCCCGTGAACTAAAATTACTTTGACATCCCTGCTGTAGAGAATCATATTTGCATGTCTGGAATCAGTTTTTGACTGTTAGAAAATGTGTTAACATGTCATAGAAGCCAGAAATTATAGTGTACTGTTGAGAAACGTATTTGCTTTGTGCATGTATGTGTCATGTTTAGTTAGTGAAATTAATATTTCTTATTTCTTAATATGCAGGTGAAGGGATTGGGCCTTTGTGTTTTCCTTTGGGTGTGCCACAGGGACTTCTTTTTGTTTTCAGGTTTGATCTGTAGATAAGGTTTGGATGCATCCTGGTACTGTGCACTGCAGGACGGGTGTCAGCCTGCCCAAGTATATAAACAAATGCACATTAATGGCTGCTACAAGGAGAGGTGCTGTGCATATATGTTATAAACACTGCAGAGATTATGCTGTGCTTTTGCTTAGTATGTGCTCTTTTAGTTTATGTATTTATTTTTTTTGTCATTTGTACTTATTTGTGTTGAAGTTCTTAAAAAACATTCAATAATAGACTGAATTTACAAAAAAAAAGGAAAAGAATGAAAGGCAAAGAGAAAGCATTGCAATAAGATCAGTCATACAGACGCAGGCTTGGAGGAGATGTCATACATGCTTGAGTTCTTGAAATGCAGCATAAACACTACATGAAGTGGTGTGATCCTATGCACGCTCACCAAGCCTTGAAGTCATGCGTCATGACAGCTGACAATTAACTAACCTAAAGTTCAAGAGGAAGTAGTGACATGGACTGTATGGCTGCAATACTTTATAACATAACGAGGTCAGATAAGGAGTGTTACTCTGAGCAGTCACCGCCTACCTGGAAGTTTCTTTGAAGTGTTGTTGAGCTCATTTTCGGGCTCTTTCTCCAGCGGAGAGCTCGGAGCGGAACACTGTGAGGGGTGTCTCTGGGCAGCAGCGTAGCTCACCCCGCTGCTAATCGTCTCCGTGGCCTTCCGAGCCAGAGACAGGATAGGAGCCGACCAGCTGTTCTCCGTCGCGGCCGGAGCTGGCTTCTCCGTCCGCTCCTGCCCGTCGCTGCCGCCGGACTCGGCCTCGGGCGCGGCTTCCGAAACTTCGGGCTCATCTAGCTGTTGTTCTGCTTCGCTATCCTCTACAGCTGTGTTTACCTCCCCTGCCTCGTCGGCCATGTTTGTCCCCCCTCCCCTCTCCCCCGGTGTTCACGCGACCAGGCCAGTGCAATCACGCGCGCTGTCAGGACGTTTTTCTTCTTCATTGGATTTATTGGCTGTTAGGGAGTCAGTTTACAGGTGTTTTACCGCCACCTACTGGACTGGATGGTCGGTGCAGTACAGTATAAACGGAAAATAGGGTCTGCACTTATCAGAGAAGTGAGATTTTTAAGAATACATGCCTTTCAAACACACTCACAGGTTTTTGAGGGGTTCTGAGGGTTTTTAAAATAAATACAAATAAGACAATTTAAAGTTGAATGTCCCCCCCCCCCCAAGTGCTTATTTTGCATCACCCTCTCTCCTCTCACAAATGACATACACTTCCTTAAAAAACTTTCCATCCTCTATTAACTAATTCCTTAAATGATTACGTCATTTCCCCGATACAGCACCAATAACATTTCCTATTGTAATGGTGTGTTTTGCTTCCTTTCTTCCTCTTTGTAGATATGACATTCCAGTTTCTCGTGGTAAAAGTATTACAAGTAGCACTACAGTAGCTGATCATACTGTGTTTGTACAAGTTGTTTGGTGTTTATTTCATTAAGTCCTTCATTGAACCATATGTGTCCTAACTTCAGACCAGCAGTGAGGGTGTTGCCCTTTCTTTTGTTGCCACAATTTCTTCTGTCACCAATGATTTTATATTTTGTAGACTACAGATGGAAGTAAACCATTACTATGTAGATTTCAAATAGGATGTTTTTTTCCCAGGAAATGGTATTTGACAATCAAGCCTAAATTACCAACCATGCAATGTGAGCAGCTGCCCCATGGCCTCAGACCCACAGGGTCACCAAAGGCTCTATAGGTTCACTATGTGGCAGCAAGTCTGCAGATATCAGTCCTATCTATGTGACATTTTGAGGCCTTGACCCAGAGCAAAGCTCAGGTTCTTCTGCAGGCCTCAGTGTAAAGAGCAGACTGATTAAATATTAAACTGGACTCACTGTGCAGCACTGACCAAAATCTGAACTAGAAAAAATATTGAAAAAACAAGTATTTTCTAAGAGGAATTGAATTAAGTTTCATAATAAAGTTACATAAAAAAGTCTCTGAAGAATAATTATTCAGAAATAATTAATCTTACAACTGCCTCACTAAATAATTAGATGTACAGTGCCCTCCAAAAGTATTGGAACAGTGAGGCCAATTCCTTTATTTTTGTTGTAGACTGAAAATATTTGGGTTTGACATCAAAAGATGAATATGGGACAAGAGATCAACGTTTCAGCTTTTATTTCCAGGTATTTACATCTGGATCTGATACACAACTTAGAAGATAGCACCTTTTGTTTGAACCCACCCATTTTTCATGACAGCAAAAGTATTGGAACATGTGACTGACTGGTGTGTTTTGTTGCCCAGGTGTCTCCCAATTACATTGATTATTCAAACAATAAATAGCACTGAATGTCTGAGCTCAGTTTCAGATTGGGTACGATAGGTTTTGCCTGTGCAGACTGCATTTAGAGGTGGAACCAACATGAAAACCAGAGAGCTGTCTATGGGTGAAAAAGAAGCAATTGTGAATCTGAGAGAAGATGGACAATCAATCAGAGCCATTGCACAAACATTGGCCATAGCCAGTACAACCATTTGGAATGTCCTGAAGAAGAAAGAAACCACTGGTGTACTAAGCAACAGACGTCGAACAGGTACACCAAGGAAAACATCAGCAGTTGATGACAGAAACATTGTGAGAGCTGTAAAGAAAGACCCTAAAACAACTGTTAGTGACATCAGCAACAACCTCCAGAGGGCAGGAGTGAAGGTATCACAATCTACTGTTCGCAGAAAACTTCATGAACAAAAGTACAGAGGCTACACCAGAAGATGCAAACCACTCATTAGCAAGAAGAATAGGAAGGCCAGGCTGGAATTTGCCAAAAGGTACAGAGATGAGCCTCATAAATTCTGGGAAAAAGTTTTATGGACTGATGAGACAAAGATTAACTTTTTCCAAAGTGATGGTAAGGCGAAAGTTTGGAGAAAGAAAGGATCTGCTCATGATCCCAAACATACAAGCTCATCTGTGAAACACGGTGGAGGTAATGTCATGGCTTGGACTTGCATGGCTTCTTCTGGGACGGACTCTTTCATCTTCATTGATGATGTAACACATGATGGCAGCAGCAAAATGAACTCAGAAGTCTACAGAAACATTTTGTCTGCTAATTTAAAGAAAGATCCAACCAAACTGATTGGGAGATCCTTCATCATGCAGCAAGATAACGACCCAAAACACACTGCCAAAACAACAAAGGAGTTCATCAGGGGCAAGAAGTGGAAGGTTTTAGACTGGCCAAGTCAGTCTCCAGACTTAAACCCAATAGAGCATGCATTTTACCTGCTGAAGAGGAGACTGAAGGGAGTAACCCCCCAAAACAAACAACAACTGAAAGAGGCTGTGGTGAAAGCCTGGAACAGCATCACAAAAGAAGAATGCAAAAGTTTGGTGATGTCAGTGGGTCACAGGCTTGATGCAGTTATTGAAAGCAAAGGATTTGCAACTAAATATTAAGTCTCATTCACTTTAATCTATTTTAAGTTTATATGTTCCAATACTTTTGCTCACCTAAAAATTTTGTGTTCCATTACAAATAATGCTATCTTCTAAGTTGTGTATCAGATCCAGATGTAAATACCTGGAAATAAAAGCTGAAATGTTGATCTCTTGTCTCATATTCATCTTTTGATGTCAAACCCAAATGTTTTCAGTCGACAACAAAAGTAAACGAATTGGACTGACTGTTTCAATACTTTTGGAGGGCACTGTAGTTCGTAAAACTAATTAGTGGTCAAATATTCTCTAAAGACGTCATCCAGATCCTCTCCAAGTACTGAGAGCATGCATGCTGTACTTCCTAGTTTCACCACATGGTGGCGCAGACAAGCTGTGCGTTACTTTCCTGTGGAACCTCTTACAAGGTGTTTTTTATTATTCATAGGCCTAAAGAAACCCAAAAGTCCAGCTTGGATCGAGCAGTTATCAGTATTTTTTCTGTATTATCAGGTGTGTTAACCCACCATTTTTCAACATCACTAATTATCTTACTTTTATGATATGTGAGGGATACTTTGCACTCCGATATGTAAGTGTGGGCTGAGGACACTGGACTCATCTGAATTAAACAACACTGAATCCCTAGAGTTACAGTGTAGATTGCAAGTGTGAGTGAATGGGTGACCCAAAAAAAAGTAAATCTTAAAAGGTCGGTAAAATAGTAAAATTTAAACACAAATAAAAAGACACATATTTTATACTTTAGGTTTTAATTTTTTTTTTAAAGAAAGGAAAAAAATATTTTATGCTGTTTTTGTTTATTATTTGGTGTTTTTTTCTTTCTATCTATCTATCTATCTATCTATCTAATAACAAGGGAGCTTAAAGTACATGGACCATCTGTGCCATAACAGTAAAATCATAGTAAGACCATGTTTTCCTTGACATTAAATACTTGTAAAACTCTTAAAAAAGGGGCAACATGTGGCTTATGGAAATGACAGTCAGTGTTTTGAAAGACAAGACCACTTAAGGTAGATGAAAGCTTTAAGATGAAGATGAAGATGCAGATTCTTATATCATCAAACAACTTCCACAGAAACTGATACAGGGTGTTGCCTACATTTAAGAGTAGGAAAAATCACATGTACTAAAATATTAATACCTTAGTAATGCCTACCAGTGTGACCATCAGTGTTTCTCATTTGAATTTTAAGTGGAGCTGTATACTGCAGCTGCACACCACAGTCATTACTATAATGATCCATTAATTAGTGTAGTAATTAATGACTAAAATGTGCCACTATCTTTATGACAGAAGTCCACACTTTGTTCAGCATATGACTGTATCCTCTCACACATTTCCTCCCAGCAGTCTGTGAGCAGCAGCAGCAGTCTGTAGGCGTGGTGAAGTGCGCAGGGGCATAAATACCGCGGTGCCTCTGTCGGGACGCTCCTTCACTCCGCTCCTCTCACACTGGAACATCCGGGACGCAGCGGTCCTCTCAAGTAACGACAAGAGGTCGCAAACAGGCGGAATTAATTCACAAAAAACACACCGATAAAAAAAAAAAAAAAAAGAAGCGAAAAAAGGGAAGGAATTTATAGAAGCGGAACAAGTGGACGGAATACATCTTATAAATCATCACATTTGTTTCCTAAAAATCACTGGAAGTTTGGACATCATGAGGATTTTCAGTGTTGTGCTCTTACTGGTTCACGCCTTGGGTGAGTTTCATGTGTTCATTTCTCTCTCTGTGTATCTTTGCTGAGTGACTTCATTCTGTTTGTCATATCCTGTGTGTGTCCTACCTGTGAGACACCGTCTCATCTTGGTTATCACTGTAAACCCCTCCAGCATGGCCGGGCTGTCACTTGTAAACTTTATAACCTTTAAGGCAACGGTTTTCATGATGCCAGGCTATTCGGGAGCTAATGGGGTCATCTCTCTATTTTGGAGCATGCTTTATGTAACTGGATACATTTATTTTTAACTCATATTCTTGCCTCACATTAGCTAACTGTCTGTCCATGCGTTTCGTGTGGGAGACACAGGGAGTAGATGCCAACTTCTATTTGCCTCCCTGGTGCATTTCCCGTCCAAAGCCCACAAATCTAAGCTGTCTCTCTCAGAGGGAGGGCCTGGCTTTCTAGTTCAAGCCGGTGTCCGCTTTGCCAAGGTGCTCCTGAGCAAGGCATTGCATACCTACCATCCCCTAAGGATCTGAGCTTGTGTGTTTCCCAATAGGGATCAGCATGATTGCACTGAAAGCCAAAAATCCCGCCTGGAGCTTCCTGGTGCACAACATGTTTCAACTTGCCCTCAGAGGTCCTCCCACTTTGGCACACTAACCTGTGAGCATGGCTCGTCCCCTAGAGGAAGTGATTCTGGGGTGGTTTTGGGGGATCTGCTCTGTTACAGACTATCAAAGCAAACTTATGTGCAATT